GTCCATTTTCGTTACTTTTGATGAAAAAAATATCCATATCTTGATACAAGTCAAGATATTGGTGATTGAAGGAGTTGGGGGTCGGCTAGCTTCAGAGGTAAAATTAGCGAGAAAATGGCCGCCAAAGTTACGTTATTTCCTTAGTTTGAGAGTCTGTGGAAACTGAATATTTACATCTTTTATGCCTTTAATCAACGTTTTTCAGTAAAAACCACTCATAAATGTGTTCTGTAAAGGGTATGAAAGGTGTTTAGGCTAAAAACAAAAATTCGATAAAAACTCCCAAACCTGTGGAAAAAGCCAATTTCTTATCTTTCATTATTTTGTCAAGGGCCTGATTTCACCATGCTGCCTCACATATGTGTGGCAACTTGGTAAAGTCAGGTGCTTGTCAAAAGTAATAAAGTCAAAGAAACAGACATATTTCCACCTATTAGTATCAGGCAATTTTAATAGAATTTTTTTAAGGATCCGCACTTTTTATGTCCTTGAGAAAACACTTTTCTGTGTGGATTTTTCAGGAAAAGTTGATGAAAGGCACATAAAATGTAAATTAACAGTTTTCAAGGACAGTCAAGCTTTGGAAGTCACGAATCTTTAATGGCCATTTTCTCGCTAATTTACTTTCTGACACCAGGCGACCTCAACTTCCTTCAATGGAAAATGTTCATGATCTTGACATTGATAAGATAAATGTGTTTGATTTTTTTTTTCATCAAAAGCAAGACAAAAAATGAACAATCTTTAAGATGGTAACTTCATATGCAAAGAAATTTACAAGTGGGTGGTTGGTGGGTGCTCTGGTTTGGTTTGCTTCGTCTTTCCTATCAAACATCCATCGTCTTTATCTCTCCTCCTTTTTTGTGTTCGCTACTCTCTTGTAATACCTCTAATCTTCGGCACTTATATGACCTCATTGTGTTACAAGTGCCATAAAACTCTTAGATATATAGTAAAACTAAAATTGCCAAACACCTGCTTCCACCGTGTTATGACATATTTTTCTCTCTCTCTCTCTGTCCGCAGGCGCTGAACGAGAACGCTAACCTGGTGTTTGTGAAGCCCAAGTGGATCTTCTCTTGTCACGAGAAGTTAAAACTGTTACCCTATCAGCCCTACATCGTGGTGCCCCAGTGATGGATCGTTAATTCCACCGCTTCATCCTCACCATCATCATTGTTATCAATGTCATTTTCATCATGCTCTTCATCATATCGTCATCATTGATGGTCATCACTAGTGTCATTCATTATGGCCATCTTCATCATCATTGTCATCATTTATTGGGTCATTTTGATTATCTTCATCTTTTTTGTACGTTGACCTTATTCATCATAATTAATCTTTTCATCCCTGACTGTAAAGTAGAAATGTAATAATTCCCTCTTATGCAGCTTTTAGATTATGTCCTGTCCTGTATTGCTTCTTTTACAATGGAAAATTAATATATAGTCATATAGACTAGAGTGCATAGCTCGTTACCGGCCGCCGCCTCATTATCGGCCGCTCTCAGCGCACGCGGTACTTTTCGTGACAAAATCTTACCTCAATGCAACAATTGTTCCAATTGGTCAACAATTGTTGCACTTGCGCAGTCTTTGTTTATCCTGCTACCTTTCCGCCGTCACAGGAGCGCCATTGCTGTGTTTTTTTACTGAGATCGGCAGTTTTCAGAACCCCTACTTCACTTCAGCCGCCATTGTTATCGTTCCGAATAAGGCCAGGTGAGTCAGCCAATAAGCTTTGAGCAATCCTATTATCGACAGGAAGCCCTCTTGTGAAAACGAAAGTCATTTTGATATAATGCCTGACTTGCCTATTTGCGTCTGCTGGTTGAAAATGAAATTCCCGCCGTTTGAGTGGGGTGGCCGGTAACTGGCAGCTAATTTAGCTGGTGTTGCCTCATTATCGGCCGGACGAGAAGAAAGTTACCAAAACTTGTTTTAGTTCTAAGATCTAATCTAGATTAATAAAATTTGTGTTGTGAACGTGTTTGTTTGTTTGATTAAGAGAAACACATCAATACAATAAAAATGGCCATTTAGTGCCAGGAAAAAAGTAAGACAGAAATAAGTAGATGACCAACCAGTAGCCCCCCCCCCCCCCCCCCAATGTGAACTTATATCAGACTAAATTTTTACTTTTAATTTACTATACACACCATTCTTACATTGATCTGTATTCGATTATGAGTAATAGGCCTAGATCTAATATTATTATATTATAATTCAGATTTATATAGAGTGTTGTGACGAAGTTGTGGCTGACATTGAGACTAATGAGACGGCTTGAAATCAGTAGGCTAATTTTACTCAGGGTAAAAATGAGCAGAATACAGTCTAGATTATCTGCCTGTCCTTTTCTAAAGAGTAATAAAAAGAGTTTTGTTTCTCTATCCTCTTTTTCTCTCTTAACTTAATGCATGTATGCCTCCACCCCAACCCACACTCCCTTTCTGCCTCCCAGAAAATGGATAAGAAACGTAAGCTGTATGCTCAAGATGACATGGAGGCTGCAGTAAATGCATGCAGGTCAGGTGCGATGTCCCAAAGGGTGGCTGCCTCGACCTTTAAAGTACCGAGAGCCACTCTGTGGGACAAACTGAAAGGGGCATACCCTGTCACGCCCAAAGTCCGCACCGTCCTGACTGAAGAGGAGGAAGATAGAGTGGTGGAGTGGTTGAAAGAGAGTGCTGCACGGGGCTGTGGCCAAGGCAGAGAAGAGGTGTGTCTCGCCATCCAGCGAATTCTTAATGCGGAGGGGCGAAACACACCCTTCAAGGACAATAAGCCAGGATCGAAGTGATTTTATTGCTTTTTAAATCGCCACCCGGACCTCAAGCAGAGAAAAACCATGATCCTTGGGGAGCAGCGAGCCAAAGTGAGTGAAGATAAAATCAGGGCTTGGTTCAGAGAAGTTGAGCTCGCCCTGGCTCAAGACGGAATTAATATCGCCACAGTGTCCCCCCATTGTATTTTCAATGTGGATGAAAGCGGCTTTCCTTTCTTCCAGGGGGGCAGTGTAGTGGTGACTGATGCAAAGGAGAAGCATCCCTACTCCATCGGGTCTGACACAAAGACGCAAATAACTGTGCTTTGTGCCGGGTCTGCTGGAGGAAGGATTCTCTCCCCATTCATGATCTTCCCAGGCATCAGATGGACCTACCATCCCTGGGATGATTTTAAAGAAGCGCATTATGACCTCACCCCCAATGGCTGGGTCAATTCACAAGTATTCTTGACGTGGCTCAAGAATGTTTTTGAGCCCGCCACGAAGCATCTGCCTAGACCTGTGGTGCTGTTTGCAGATGGCCATCAAAGTCACGTCAACATGGATGTGCACTTTTTCTGCAAACAGCACCAGATCACTTACTATGTGCTGCCAGCACACGCATCACACATAGTCCAACCTCTGGATTTAATTTTCTATGGGGTACTGAAACGGTACTGGGGTGACAGCGTAAAGGACTACAAACGGATTTCCAATGTAGGCGCTGTCACCAAAAAATCTTTCGCCATGGTCTTCAGAGAGGCGTGGCTGAAAGCCCACACTCCTGAGAAGATGGCACATGCATTCGAGGCAGCTGGTCTCTCGCCTTGGAACCCCGATAGGCCCGACTATTCAAAGTGCAGGGCTAGTCGTGTGTACGGAAACTACCCAGCTGTCTCGAGTCCGTCACCAAATCCCCTGTCCTCAGTTCCGGGCCCCTCCGTCGAGCCGTCTCCGTCTGTGTGCCCTGCTGAGGACCTTTCTCCAGTTCCGGGCCCCTGCGTCGAGCCGTCTCCGTCTGTGTGCCCTGCTGGGGACCTTTCTCCAGTTCCGGGCCCCTGCGTCGAGCCGTCTCCGTCTGTGTGCCCTGCTGGGGACCTTTCTCCAGTTCCGGGCCCCTGCGTCGAGCAGTCTCCGTCTGTGTGCCCTGCTGGGGACCTTTCTCCAGTTCCGGGCCCCTGCGTCGAGCCGTCTCCGTCTGTGTGCCCTGCTGGGGACCTTTCTCCAGTTCGGGGCCCCTGCGTCGAGCAGTCTCCGTCTGTGTGCCCTGCTGGGGACCTTTCTCCAGTTCCGGGCCCCTGCGTCGAGCAGTCTCCGTCTGTGTGCCCTGCTGGGGACCTTTCTTCTGTTCTGGGCTATTCTACTGACCTGTCCTCTCCTGCTGCTGCCCCACGCACCAAGAGTATTGCCATGGCAGTGGACCAGCTAGTGGATTTCATTATTTCCTCTGGTTGGTCCGCTGCCGACATGTACAGTGTCCGCAGACAGCAGTGGAGAAATGTCCCTCCAGGCCCAGGTGACGACAAGTACAGACAATACCTGGAGCTGTATAATGACATTGTGCCCCCTCCCACATTTGACAATCTCCCCTTACCTCAAAAATCTTCGTCCGCCAAATCCGCAACCAGAGTGCAGCCTCCGAAATATGTCTCCGGAGAAAAGTTTCGGGATTTTCAAGAGAGAAGGGAAAGGGAAGAACGAGACAAGAAAGAAGCCATCGAGGAAAGAAAGAGAGAGAGGGCTAGAAAGAAGGCGGAAAAGGATGCTGAGAAAGAGAAAAAGAGGCTAGAAAGGGAAACAGCAAAAAGAATGAATGCGGCAGAGAAAGAGGCCGAGAAAGAGAGAAAGAAGATCCAAAGAAAAGGAAAGAGAAAGGCCACCTTGGAAAAAAAGCACAAGGGAAAGTCCATAAAGAAGAGAAGGGCTGATGTGCTCAATGAAGCTGAGAGTGAGAGTGAATCTGATTCTGTTGGCGTCCAGTATATGGACAGCTCTGGGGATGAGTGTGAAGAGGTTTTTGAGCGGATGTTGCATGAGTATGATGAGAATACATGTTTTGATTGTGGGAGCGACAGAGATTTAGACGGATGGATTGCGTGCGACAGATGTGATAAGTGGTACCACAGGAGATGTACAGGGTCGAGGATGGAGTTAATTGTCAGTATGAGTGAGGATGAAGTTAGTGAATATAGGTTTATTTGTGATTCATGCATTCCGTAAGCTGCAGAGAAAGTTTAGTTTTTGTTGAGTTTTGATTGTGTTTTTGTTAAATTACTTTGCTGTTTTCTTATTTGTTGAAATTGTTTGATTCTTGTTCCTGCTGTTAAAAGTTTGTACTCTGAATTCTTGAATGTGTGTGTGTGATCTTTGTGAGAGATGGTGCGTATTTTTAAAGTTTATTCAGATTGCTGTATGATTGAGTTGGCAGTGAGAGAGATAATCAGTGGCCACTAAGGGACGCACGGGGAAGTGATGAAAAGCATGACGGAGGAAGAGGTGGCGATTAATGGATACAGGTACATCATCATTTCATCTATTATATTTATCTTCAAATGATTTGTTGTTTCTCTTTTTACCTGTTTTTGATTCATATGTTGCTGTTCTCCATTGAGTTATAAAAATTTGCAAAAGTTTTATGGGCTCTGTGTCTCTGGTTCAACGTCAGTCGCTGTTTGGAGTTGTTACTTGTTTTCATATTCACTGTTCCCTGGTAGCTCTTCAGCCTCTATCCTTATTCATAGCTACAAAATAC